TTTTTTTTTTTTTTTAAATCATAACTAGTTGGAGTCCTATATGCCTCACTTATCTGTATGTCAAGTTATATTGGCTCTGATTGAGAAGTTTTCTGCTATTACTTCTGTGAACAGTTTTTTTTTGTTATTTGTGTTTTCTCCTGCTTTTTCTTGGACTCCTATTAATCTTATATTATTCTTCTTTGCATCATCTTTTCAAAAAAGAGTAGTTGGCTTCTATGTTATCTAATTAAACCAGCTGGGTGCCCTCAGCATGGCCCTGGCCTCGGGTATCTGGGTCACGGCAAAGGCAGCCCCGGTGTCATGTTCCCCCGGTACTCGTCTTTCGGCAGCTCTTGGTTTAAGATTTTGTTGTTTTTTATGCCGATGATGAATCTGTCTCCTTGCTGTTTGGCTTCCGTTTCCAACCTTCCACTAGTCTAATCTTTCTAGAAAGAAAATATAATCAAGACAAACCTATGGTACAGTTTTAAATTCATCAATTTAAAATCTCCACGGCCAACACAACAGTGTTCAAACCAAGCATATTCATCACTCCAAATTCCATCCAAGAATATATTCTCTAAGAATCCTTGGCTCCCTCTTTCTATGCTACCAGAACATGAATACCTACATTACTATCATACTATAGCTTCATCATTCTGGTTAATGCTCACCTCTCCTACATACAGACCAGGAGGTCTGTAAAGGAAGGGACCATAACTGGGTGATTATTGGTGTACTTCCAGTGCCTTGCAGATATTCAGATGCTTCCTCCCCCAGGTTTTTCCTCCCTTTCCCATTTTAGTATGACCTTTTATCCCCTACATCTAATTCATTTTGTAGCTGTCATTCCTACCCCATCAACTACCTCAGGCATTTGTTTCTCATTAATTATCCTCTCCCTCCAAACAAATCTTAATCATTTTTTTATCTAATGAACTACAAAATGGCAACTCTCAACTTAAAAATTCTTTTCTTTCATCTATTGTCCTGAGGCTATTGCTATCTTTCATTTTATAAGAAGGTAAGTCTTGTGTATTTGCTTATATATATACTTTCCTTTAATGTTCATAGAGCAATTAAGAGACTTTCGCTTAGAGCAGTAAGGGCAAACATGTGGGCTGTTTGTTATCAATGAAAGTTCTAAAAGGTTCACCATCACTGGGCTAAAGCTATACAGCTCATTCATAGTTAACCCAAAACTGGGGTGCTTTGTCATATTTTCTTTTGAAATAAGTGCAAAAGGATTACTTAATCACATACCAAGTAATTCAAGTAAAGGCAGGGAAAACTGCCAAAAGCCTAGAAAAACATAAAAGAACTGTCAAAGCAATGAGAAGCATGTCACCAATTCACGTATCAGTGTATCAGGCACAAATATCAATAATACCTTCTATCACAATTAAGAGATATTGTTTCTTTATAGTTATGAAAAGTGGGAGTCCTTTTGATCAGTGCTATTAATGAAATGCAATACTCCCTTTGGTTGTGATACCTAATTGTTTTTCAAGCCTTGGTGCTCTATATGCTTCTGATAAACCCTTATTTATATTCCTCTCTGAAGGGGTGAGGGGTGGAGTTGAGACAGGATCTCACTATGTAGGTCAGGCTGGCCCTGACTCACTAACGTAGGCTGGCTTCAAACTCATAGTGATCTTCCCTCATCAAATACTGGGATTACCAGCATAGGCCATGAAACCTAGCTCCTCTCTGATTTTTTGCTTATTCTGTTACTTGCAAACAAGACTCATAATAATGAGAAGCAGAATGCAAACTGGCACATGGGCTAAAAAGACAACTCTGATCACACAGTCAAAATAATCAGAAAAGAAACTCTTGCAAGCCTTATCACACAACTCAAAAGCCAAAGTTGAGGGAAATTATATAAACATAGTTTATCTGGCCTAACCTCTGGCTCACAAAGCGGATTTTTTTTTTAACAGCTCACCTCTGGATTTAAACTCAGCATCACCACTTCATGCACAGCAGTATTAAATTTTTTCCAGTCTTTAAAATAATACTGTTATTTAGTTTGACTGTGAATCACCTATGAAGTATATGGGGCAGTGCTTTTTACTAGCAGTACGGGGGTTTAAAGTGAAGAGGCATGCTAGGCAAAGTTTCTACCACTGAGCTATACATATCCTCACCCCACCCCCATTTTTGAGGCAGGGTCTGGCCTACTTACCCAGGCTGGGTATGAACTTGTGATCCCCCTACCTCAGCCTCCCAAGTACTGGGACTACAGGTGTACATTTCCACATGTAGCCAGAGTAGTCCTCTTACACAGCTAAGGATACAGATCAAACTTAAAGAGTTGCCTGCGGTCTACAAGTATGGTCTAAACTCGGGTTTAATGATTTCTATGCTTTTTTTAACAGCATACCCTCAATTATCTGAGCTCTATTAATGCAAACTTTGTAACTCTACCTTGTTTGTGAGTCTCAAAAAAAAAATTAATAATCTTTCCCATATGACCCATTAGTCCTCCTCTCTTAAAGAATCTAGTATAAGGCCATGTGCATAATGTGCACAATTAATTGAGTATGAAAATTCCAAAGCAATTTCACTGAGAAATACATCTTTCTTATTAACCCTGAAATCTTCTTATTTACTTTTTTTTAGACAAGGTCTTGCTATTAGTTCAGGCTGGCCTTGAATTCATATGTAGCCCAAACTGGCCTTGAACTCACAACCATCCTTCTGCCTCAGACAACCAAGTGCTAGAATTACAGGTGCGCACCACCACACCCAGCAGACCTTGAAATCTTATATGACAAGCCATCATATCTGCAAATGTAAAAGTAAAACTAGATAAACTTACCATTGGGGTGCCATATTTCTGTAATGAATTTCATTTTAGGAGGCCGGAGGGGATAATTTTGGGAAAGTTTTTTTAGACAAGGTCTTGCTATTAGTTCAGGCTGGCCTTGAATTCATATGTAGCCCAAACTGGCCTTGAACTCACAACCATCCTTCTGCCTCAGACAACCAAGTGCTAGAATTACAGGTGCGCACCACCACACCCAGCAGACCTTGAAATCTTATATGACAAGCCATCATATCTGCAAATGTAAAAGTAAAACTAGATAAACTTACCATTGGGGTGCCATATTTCTGTAATGAATTTCATTTTAGGAGGCCGGAGGGGATAATCTTTTGGGAAAGTGAGATGAGCTTTAAAAACACCACCTTCACTGGAAAACAAAAACAAGTTCTTGCATGTTAAGTTCATGCTTATATCATCATTAAAACATACAAAACAAGGGTGCAGGTACTAACATTAAAAATGAAGCTAACTGGATAATCTGGATTTCCTGCACTTTCTTCAAAAATCTAATTTAGGGCCCAGGATTTAACTCAGTGGCACCGTGCCTGCCTTGCAAGCACCAGGTCGTGAGTCTTATCCCTGGTACCCAAACAAACAAAGAAAAATCCAAATTAATAATTTACCATACTTACCACTTTAAAAAACCTCTCAAGAGGTAGTAAAATAAGTTTGATAAAAGAATTCAGATCAGATCACATCAGTGGTATACTACAAGTCTTTTCTTCTCAACACACTTACAACAAAATTCAGAAGGTTTCACATTGTCTTTAGGGCTCAAACTGCCAATTTCTTTATGATGATTTGAAACTGTCATTCTTCTCTTTGTTCTCATCAGTCTTTCAGTTTCTTAAACATATCAAGCTGTTTCTCATCTCAAACCTTAAGCACATTTTAAGCACATTGTTGCCCTATTCAGGAACAGAAGCGCTGCTTCCATTCAGCTATCCAATTATTTCATTGTTTAGCAAATATTTACTAAGCATGCATGTTATGTGTCAAACATTAGGAGCATAACAGTGAACAAAATACATTGAGTTTATATTTTACAGGCTTTCCAGAATAGAAATTACCGAAAGAACTCTGCAGCATTGAAGCTGTTTTATTTATGCTGTCCAATATGATAACCACTTGAAATATGGCTCATGAAACTGATGAACTAAATTTTTTAAGTGAATTTAATAGGTATATGCGGCTAAGTAACTTCTATATGGGACAGTGAAGTTTCAGATCAATGCTATTTAACTGGAAAGTGTTCAATTGTCAAGAGAACCATACAATGAGTTGTTTGTATTATTTTTAAAAAGGACCCAAAATCATCAAATCCCTGCCTTATGATCTGGTACTAGATGTTTCCTCAATTTGAAATACTCTTCTTTGTCTTTTGATCATTATTCAGTACTCATCCTATTACAGTTAAGATTTTACTTGAGGACCAGGGATTTAGCTCAGTGGTGCTGAGCCCGCCAAGCCCACCTTGCAAATACAATGTCCTGAGTTCAATTCCCCAGTATGGGAGGGAAGGAGGGAGGAACATTTTACTTGACTACCAATCTAAACTATTAAGATCCTTTAGTCACATTAACTTCTTTTAATTTCTTTATTTCAATAGCAGTTCGCATATCTGTTTTTTGTTTTGTTTTGTTTTGCTTTGTTTTTTTTGAGATAGGGTCTCACTGTGTAGTTGAGACTGACCTTGAACTCACTATATAGCTTAGGCTGGTCTCAAACTCACAGCAATCCTCCTGCCTCATTCAGTCTACTGAGTGTTGGGATCACAGGCGTGCACCACCATGAATGGCAAATATCTGATTCTTTATGCAATATATAACCCATTAGAGTGGGCTCATATGATTGTGATTGTTTTAGATCAGTGAGAAACAGAATGCTTAGCTCACTGAACAATTTTCATTAACTCAAATATACACTGATTACCTAGTTATGCTAAACACCATCCCATATAAACATATGTAACAGAAGAGAAAACACTAGCATTGTGACATTTACCATTCTAGAGGTAGAAGGGAAGTATCTATTCAAAAAAATCAGTAGCAAGTATTGTCAGAGAATGATATGACAATCTACTGTTAAAATTTAAAAAGGGAGTATTTATAGTATAAGCCCCCTTGAACCAAGAGAAAGTGGTGATATGTTTATACTAAAAATCAGAAAAAATGTCTGGAAGCACATCAGTATATCCACAGTCTTCTGAGGGAAGAAAGGAGGAGAGGTATTGCTAAATTGTCTGGGATGGGCTCGAACTTGATACTCAAGCCTCAGCCTCCAATCCAAAGTACACGAGATTACAGACATGTACACCACAACACAAAGCACATATAGTCACTATTTTTTAAATACATGAGATTGTGGTGGGCAAAACAAAAGCTTATTAGAATTATCAATGGGGCCAGGGATTCAGCTCAACTGAGCTAATACCACCACCTGCTTCGCAATGAGAAGGTCCTGAATTCGATCCCTGGTACCAAAATGGGGGGCGGGGAGAAGAGGAAGAAGTTATCAATCAATTCAAAACATTTTTCTTTCCATTCATATGTTCACTTCATCACAGATACAGTATAATCACCAACATGATGTTAAAAGAAAGTATACAACCTGGTGTGAGAAACCTAGACCCCGTTCTTTGCCGTGAGACCTTCCCTTACTGTTTTTGTATTAAATTACAAAAATCTTACAAGGATCAAATCCTACCATTTTGCCATACTTGTTGCTAGTTAAGAAGCCACACAAAGGGAGTCTCCAAGGTCCATGTTCTTAACCATTACATAATAAATGGCATGGAACTGCCAATGATCACTCAGTTCCTAAGCAATACACTCAATTCATTCTCTCCAGAATTTAATTACAGAATACATAGCTTATAAATCTTATGTAGGACTATAAATGAATTTTTAAAACTGCAACAGAATTTTGCAGTTGGAAAAGAATGTTAATCAGTTTGGTTAGTTGACTTTTCATTTTCTATATCCAATAAAACACATGTATATAATGGGGGGAGGGCTTTTTGAGACAGTGTCTCACTATGTAGTTGAGACTGACCAGGAACTCACTAGGTAGCCCAGGCTGGTCTCAAACTCACAGTGATCCTCCTGCCTCAACCTCCTGAGTGCTAGGATTACAGGCATGCGCCACCATGCCCAGCTCATATAATCTTTTTAAGATTCTCTAATTTAAACAAAAACCACTCAAGATTCTCCTGCCTCAGCCTTCCATAGTGCTGGGGTTATAAGGCATGTGTCACCACACCCAGCTATTCTTAAAATATATATATATACATATATATATATTTTTAACACCATAGCCAGTAGTAAGAAACAAAAAGCATACTCCCCCCAAAGGAACAACCGCTGATGATCAAAGAAAACGGGGGAGTGGAGGGTTGCACTCACTACTGACTAGGGCAAAAGTATAACATCTACAATTATACAGTAGTATCTGGGTATATGAGTTTCTAACTTTTTAAAGATAAGGTCTCACTACATTGCCCAAGCTGGCCTCAATACCACTTTTTTTTTTGGTCCCAGGAATCGAACTGTGAACCTTGTGCTTTCGGGGCAGGCGGCAGTGACACTGAGCTAAATCCCCAGCCTTCAACACCATACTCTTAAAGACTTTCTTTAAACACCTATTACTACTCCTACCCGAAATTTTTATTTCTGTAGATATGGGTGGCTAACCATACTATATGGTAACAGGTATCCCACACCATTCACAGAATGCATACTTCACAGAAAGCCTGAAGAATCTATTCCTAGGGTTGGGGTGTAGCTCAACAACCCAGTACTAACTAGCGTGCTTAAGTAGAACACAGAAAACTTTGGATTTGATACCAGTGCTAAAAACAAGCAAACCAACCAACTTATTCTTAACAGCATTATAAAGATTCAATAACAAATAGGGCAGTAACTAGAATTTAATTATCTCTGGGCCTGGTGATACACATCTGTAATCCTAACATTCTAGGAGGCTGGGGAAAGTGGGGTCTAAATTTGAGCCTGGCCCAGCTATCTTAGCAAGACCATGACTCAAAATAATTTTTAAGGCCTGGGGATTTGGCTCAGTGCAAAGCGCTTGGATTTGATCCTCACTGGTGGCGCTACATGTCAGTAACTATAATGATTAAATTAATGCTCATGCTAACTATGTGTTTCAAAGTCACACTGCAAGTGGCTATCAATATCTCTCATCAGCAAGTACATAATGCAGAGGTAGAATGAAGGCAAAAAATGGGCTTTATTAGTGAAAAAAGTGACCTGTTCTTTAGAATGGCATTACAAAGTGGCTGTCTTCGATGAAGCTGGAGGAATGGAAGGCTTACATGGACCAGCTAATAATACCTGCAGCAATGTTATGAAAAACATGTAAGAATGCAGTGAGCCTTTAGAGTTAAAGCTCAGTAAAGAGTCCTTACGCAATGCATTATACAGAAATGAGTTTAGGGAGAATTTCCATCTTATATCTACTACAAAAGTAACTAAATTCTCATCACTGATATGTTACAATGTCTCCCCCTTAGCCAATGTGGCTAAAACAAATGCAGGACAGATACAAATTTCATTAAGTTCATAGACTAGATTATTATACAGTTTTGTGCACTGAACTTAAAAATTTTGCTTTCAGCTGGGCATGGTGACGCATGCCTGTAATCTCAGCACTCAGGAAGCTGAGGCAGGAGAATCACTGTAAGTTTGAGACCAGCCTGGTCTACATGATGAGTTCCAGGTCAGTCTCAACTACACAGTGAGACCCTGTCTCAAAAAACAAAAACAAAAACACAAAAAAAATTTTTTTTGGCTTTCAAATAATAGTAAGGGTGTGAGGGACTGACTACCTCTAAGATGATTTCCAATGGCTACTCTTTATCTGCCCAAAAAGCATTAAGCCATCTCAGGTTGCAAAACTTATCAATTCAAACATGACACCAGGAAATGTATCAGCAAAAATTGTAATTATCAACAGCTGTGACAAAGTATAAATCTTTTTTAGCTCCATTTTATATGTCTTAAGTGTGCCCAGGTATATAATACTTTTTCTACCAACAGGTGGTGGGGGCAGTTATCATTTTATTAAAAAAAAAGTAAGTGTCCATCACAAAAGAATATCTGATGCATCTAAATCCTTCCCCTATTTAGGACCACTGAGGAATAAGATTGAGTGAGGAAGTGTAATCCCTAAGAAAGCCAAGATGTAGATCTATCCCTATGGTGGCTTTGAGAAAATTTCATCACCACCACCCCTGTAATACATCAATTTCTGTAAAAACCACAGAATTTATACCAGTCACCATCATCAGGAAGTGATAATTCAAACTTATAGAATAATAAATGATAGAAAATTTGTTAATTTGTAAATAGACCAGAAAATAGTTAAGACTGCTTTTTATTTTTTTAAATCTAGAAATGTCCTAATGACATATTTAAGAAATTATTTTTCTATTTCTCTTTGGTACCAATACATTCAAATTTATATCTTTAAATAACTGGTTTAAAAACTGATAGTCAGTTAGCTAATGCATCATTTTATACTGTAACAGTAACCTTTTATAAACTAGAGAAAAGTGACCATGAGTTTATTCTAGGATCAGAACACTTTTTCCTCTAATCAGTATTCTGTGAAGATCCAATCAGCCACTAAAATAGATGACCTTGAAAGTTCTTTCCAGTCTTCATAAAACACTGAAATGTACAATATACCCATTTGAAAATTTCCCAGAAATATGTAATGCCATGCTTTACCAACTGATAAAGTGTTAAGAGTGATAAAGCCTTGCTCATTAATATTATGATCTTCCCTCTGGGGTCAAGGCACAGTAAGCACAAGTGAAGGGATGAGAGAAAAATTCTTCCCTGATACTGGAAAATTAATCTTTTACTTTCTGGGATGTAAGTAAAAAGTGCTATTTTTATGTAACCTTACAATAAGATAATTTTATAGAAATAAACTTATCCAAGTATCAAGAGTAGTGACTTTCTGAAACAATATTTCTGTAATATTCTGAAACTATGTTTTATGAGCAACAGGTTTTAGACATTGAAGCTTCAAGCAGAACACAGAAACACTAGACATGATCAAATTCAGTACAAATTACACTGGACACAGTCATTTCACCTGCCCTTTCATGTCAATTTGCTAAAGTAGTTTTAATATCAGTAAATTTTGAAGATGTAAGTTCCATTATACTTACTAAAGTGTATCAGGAGGCCCAATAATAAGGACTTCCCACCGGTAGAGATCATTGTCATCTATTAAACCTGCTGAAAAGCCTTCCACTGGATTTTTGTTGAGTTCTGCAGAAAAAGAAAAATTTGATTAAAACTTTCAAGCATATATATAATCTTCTATCCAAAAGGTTATTTAGAGGAGTTGAGCCTACATGTTTTAATTTCAAACTGTGAAATGGATATACCTTATCAGACAAAATGCTACCTAATGACCAAAACATTTCTATTTCCACACTACAAGAAGGCAATGGGTAAAGCAGACTATTCAAAAAATCAACTTCTACCATCTTCTGTCCTGGTAGCTAACCAAGGTCTTAGCACTCTAGATACTTCTATAGTGGTCTTTTAAATAGTTTGTTAAACCAGATGTGGTGGCACAAGCCTATAATCCCAGTACTTGGGAGGCTGAGACAAGAGGATAGCTACAAATTCAACACCAGCCTGGGCTATATATACAGTGAAGTCAAGGTCAACCAGAACTACACAACTAGACCTTCTTTAAAACAACAACAACAATAACAACAACTTGTTAAAAGCAAATATCCCCAATCATCCTTCAGAGATTCTAGTTTAGAGGTATTAAAAATCAAAACAGGAAGGGTAATTCTTTTTTTTTTTGGTACCAGGGATTGAACTCGGGTCCTTGCGCTTGCAAGGAAGGCCACTGAACCACTGAACTAAATCCCCAGCCGTAGGAAGGGTAATTCTTAAGCTATGGTCTTCAAGGCATACTTTCAGAAAACACTGACAGAGTGTCTAAAATACCTTCTCATTTTATATAACTCTCATTTATACTAACATGTTTATCAATTTGACGTGCCTCTATAGTCCAAAGACACATGACTCCAGTTGGTATTTTCCTGTGATTCACCACTGTAGACAAAGAATACGGACTCCATCGGGCCTATGTGTGTTGATCCCTCTGCTGGCCACAGCTACCAGAACCCAAGAGTACCTAGAACCTGCAAGAATGGCTGTGGCAACATGAGGTTTTTCTCTTCTGAAGAGTTTTCTGGCATAAACGACAATGAGCGTTAAAATGGAAAACTGAGGTGGGGGGGGTGGGCATAGGAAAGGAGAGATCTTGGAGGAACAGTTAAAGAGGGATGTAGATCCAAAATAATTTCTGTGGGAAAAGTGCTTTATAAAGTAATGAACAAATTAATCCATTAATAATGGACCTAACACATGAGAAATTTTTAAAAATGGAGTCTCACTATGTTGTGTAGGCTTATAATTCTCTCAACTTCCACAGGAGCTGGGATTACAGGCATGTCCCACCATGCCAAGCAAGGATTTTTTTCAGTGGCTTTAATGTAGTATAATTGACTTTGAGTGAGCTCTACATACTTAAAATTATATAGCAGTGATGGTGAACATTTTAGAGTATTTAGTGATACAAACCAAACAGTCCACTGCAGCACTTGCCATAGGTTAGTTGCCACTGTTGCACAGTTCACTAAATACTGATACATGAATATATTTTTGAAGCCATCACCAACTATCATGCTGAGCACATATATCAATCACCAACAACATTATCAATTGTTTTACCTGCCAAGGGGGGCTGAGAGTTTGCTGGCTCAAACTGGGAAGTGGGAAAAGAGACTCAGAAAGAACACGCTGGGAATCTGAGCAGGTGCATGATTCTCATTAATGCCTGCCATCATCTAATCATGGAAGAAAGTGTAATACAATACAGAGTGCTATGAAAGACTGAACAAAGTGTGCTCGTAACCGAGAAGGTAGTAAATCTTTAAGGAATCAGAGATGGTATTATTTCAATGCCTAGGATTTATCATCCCACCATGGTAGTGAAACATACAGAGAGCCAAGAGTTAAAATTTATATTTAAGCATGAAGCACTCTTTTCTAAAATTTAAATTTCGTTATGTCTAATATTTTTGCCTGATGAGCAAAATAGCTAAATTAGCTAAAATCAGTATTGTATTTCAAAACAAATTTTTTTAAACAGCTATTTTTAAACATATTGTCTCCCCCAAAAGTCTCATGTGTTCAAAGGTAGGGCTTCTGGAAGGTGATTGGATTATATGAGGTGCCATGCTCACATGCGTGGATTATGAGTTCATAGCTAAATACTCTGTTTGTAAGTGAGGCCCAGTTGGAAGAGGTGTGTCAGCAGGGGCACGCTTTATTCTTTTTGGTACCAGGGATCAAACTCAGGACCCTGCACTTGAGGGGCAGGCACAGTGCTACTGAGCTAAATCCCCAACCTTAGGGGCATGCTCTTTGAAGATCTATCTCCCTCCTGCTTCCTAGCTGCCATGAGGTGAACAGTTTTCTTCCACTATGATGTTCTGACATGGAACCAGCCAACCACGGACTGAATCCCCTAAACTGTGAATCACATTAAACCTTTCCTCTAAGTTGTGTCATGCATTAGGTACCAATGACAGTAAAGTGACTAATACAAATGGAAAGCCTCACTCATTGTACTGTCAACTGAAAGATGCAGTGTTGTAAGACAAATGCTATTGGGACAGCTGTTTTCAATGACTACTCAAAGACTTGAGCATTCACAGATTTTGATATCTAAGGGAATTCTTGAAGCCAATCCTCAACGGATGTTAAGGGACAATTATTTTTACATAGATCATTTTCTCCAATATTGTACCTAAGCATCATCTCATAGAAGATTTTATTAATTTCTCCAGAAATCATACCAGGTTGTTACACTTTCCAACAAAAGTCCATTTAAAAGTTTTATAAATGTTGGTGAGTAAACTCTGCAATTACCCTTGAAAATTCCCTTACACATTCCATAAAGCATATAATTACCAAGTGTGGTAGCATATGCCTGTTAATTCCCAGCACTCAGGAGGCTGAGGTGGGATTGACAATGGTTTGAGGCCAGCCTGGGCTACACAGTAAGTTCAAGGTCACCCTAACCTACATTAACAGGACTGTCTCAAAACAACAACAAAACAGATATAATTGCTTCTCACTTTTGTCAGTATATTCTAAGTTCTGAAACTGGCATATTCTTTCCATGCTTTTCTTCTACGGCACGATTGTGTTCACTGCTCATTTCATGTAAGTAATACATAAGTAAAGCAGTAGAACATCAAACATCTTACTTTTGCCAGGTGTAATGGCACACTCTTGTAATCCAAGCACTTACGAGGCTGAGGCAGGATTAACAAAACCACCACGCTGGCCCTGAATTTACAGTAATCCTCTTGCTGCAGCTTCCCCAATGCTGGAATTCCATGCACGCGCTACCATGCCCCATCTAAAATTCTCCTAGATCTAGATCCATGAAAACCTACGTAATAGGGTTAACTCACCTAAGAAGGTCATTAGTATAAATTCACAAATGATTCAAGACCTAATTTAAGTACTATCTCCCTCCATGAGACCTTTCTTAACAGATCTACAAAATTTTTTTTTTTTAAACTTCGACTTCTGTTAAATTTGTACTCATTATACTTTTAAACCTGTAATGCAATACCTGGCACCTGACTAATTGCTCTAGATTCCCAGAGAAAGAAACAGGCAGTGATGCTTTCTACTAACAAATGAATAAACAGGTAAAAAAGAAAAGCACATAATGGAATCATTACAATCCAAAAAGGGTTCTATAAAGAAAGATTAAAACAAAGAATTTGGGTGGCATGAGTGCAAGGTTTAGATAGATAAGCAGGTGAAAAACTTGTAATACTGAGCTCAGTCTATGACTAGAACAAGGGGGCACAAGTGAAACTGGACAGACTGGCAGAAGGTGGACAGGAAAAGGCCTTTATAAGTTTGGATTTTATCCAGAAGGCAGTGATTAGCCTTTGAAGGGCTTTATATTTTAAACAATGTGGTAACCTCATGTGATTTACATTTTCAAAAACCAATCTTTTAGTGTGTAGGAGATGATATACATAAGATCACAGTGAGAGCAAAGAAATCTAAAAGGAAGCTATTACAGTATCTACTATAGGAATTCTGTAAAGTATATAAAGTATAAGGTGATAGAAACAATGAACAAAAACAGGAATATTTAAAAGATAAGAGTCTATTAAAGTTGGCAGTGTAAGTATTAAACCAGAAGTGACATACAACTCCTCAGATGAACAGTTAGTGAATGACCCAGCGATTCCATTCCTAGGTATATTCTCAAGAGAAGCAAAAACATGTGTCCTCACAGAAAGCTGTACATGAATGTGTAACAGCAGTAGTATTTATAATAGCAAGGAAATGGAGGGCCAGGGGTTTAGCTCTGTGGCATCACGCTTGTCTTCCAAGCGCAAGGTCATGAGTTTGATCCCTGGTACCCCCACCCCCTCAAAAAGTGGAAAAAACTCAAATGTACATCAATGAATGGCAAACTGTGGCATATACATATAACCAGCCATAAAAAAATATGAAGTACTAATATATACTACAACTTAGATGAGACTTACAAGCACTAGGCTACATAACAGAAGCCAGACACATGAAGTAACACATTATCCTGATTGGCAAAGAGACACAGAAAAAAAAAAATCAGAGGCTGCCAGTGGATAGGCAGTGGGAGAAAAGATGTAGATGTGGGGAGCTTTGTTTTGGATGTGAGTGTGTGTGGGACAGGCTAGGGAGTAAAGAAGAGGTTTTGAACTAGAAAGAACTGGTGGTTGCATAAAACTATGAACACACTAAACACTTGTAAAGATGGTATACTGGAATATAATTATGCATTATGTGAACTCGACCTCACTTTTCTTAAATGACATACAGGTTCACTACGGAAAGCAAACACAGGAAAATTTTTTTTAGATCAGGAGTCGAACTCGAGGCTTTGCGCTTGCCAGGCAAGTGTGGAACCACTGAGCTATACCTCCAACAGGAAAAAGGTTTTAAATGCCTGCTGGGCATAAAACATTGTTTTAAAAAGAAATGTTAGCTAGGCATGGTAGTGCTCACCTGTAATCCCAACACTTTGGAGGCTAAGGCAGGATGATCACTGTGATTTTGAAGTCAGATTGGACTACAGACCAAGTTCAAGGTCAGCCTCAACTACACAGGAAGACCCTGTCTCAAAAAACCTAAATAAATTAAAAATAAGAGGGCTGGGTATT